TATATATATATATATGTATATATATATATATATATATATATATATATATATATATATATATATAGTATTTTACTGGCATAAAAGCAGGCTCAGAAAAAAAATCCCCATCATGAAACAGGTCTATAGAATTACTGATTTCTATGTGTCAAGGGAAGTAGTTTTTCATTTTGCCTTGTCCCTTCTAAACTTTCATATCTTCTATGAACTTCAGTGCCATTCAGTTGACTAAGTCTTTGGGTGTCATCTTTTAATTTTAAATCATGTTTTCTCTAAGGGAAAACATTAAAATTAAAAGATGACACAGAAATCAGGAATTATACTGGCTGGTTGCCAGAGACTTAATGATTAAAGCCAGTATGCTAGAAACTTTGACAAGGAACCAAGAAAAAGGTCTGTGCCCTTTTAGAGTTTATTATACCAACTACCAAATAGCAGTTTACAAAGACACAAATAAAGTGTAGAAAACTGAGATAAAGAATGAAACTTAGCAGGAGATGGGAGATAGAAGGACATAAAAAAGAATTGTTGGAGGTCTTTGAAGGAAAAGACAGGATGAAGGATAAACAGAATAGAAAAAAAAAAAATCTAGTGCATCCTAACGGTTGACCTCTTCATCATAGAGTATTTATATAAGAAATATTGAACTGCAAGATAAGTTTCTAAATACTTTAAGTTCACCAAAATTTATGCAGGGGATTGTCACTATTATTTACCGTTCATTTTAAAAAGAAACGCTGTTTTGGAAAAAAATAGAATCACATTTGAAAGGACCTTGAAAGATCATCTTGTTCTTGACAAAGGCATACAGCTGTCAGCCTCCAGCTGTTTGCACCTACAGGACTACTGGTAAGTGGAAATCTGCCTCAGATTTCCTACCAAAGTCACACGCTACAAAACTGTGCCCCAGCCAATACCTGAGCATGGCAGGAGTACCAAGGCCAGGCCTTGTGTGCATAATGCAGAACTTCCCTTTACCTTTTGCCCCAAAGCTCCCTTTTATATTGATCAAGACTTTGTCAGATCCACATACCGATCTGAAGATTCCTCAGCTCATTCCTGCTTCCTTCTCCCTTTCCTATTGTAGGGATAAGATCAGCATCCTCCTCCCTTTTTTCAAAAAAATTTATCTTTATTGTTGAACCTATTATATTGATAGATGTCCCCTTTTTCTCTCCCATTGACCTCCTCCACTCCACATCCACACTCCCAAGCCTTTGCCACACTGTTGTCTGTGTCCATGGGTTGTGCATATAAATGCTTTGGTTAATCTCTCCCCCACCTTCCCTTGGAGATTTGTCAGTTTGTTCCATGCTTCTGTGTCTTTGCTTCTATCGTATTTTGTTCATCAGTTTATTTTGTTCATTAGATGCCACATATGAATGAGGTCATGTGATACTTGTCTTTCTTGAACTGGCTTGTTTCGCTCTTCAGCAACCCTTTTTATGGGCTTTCCCTGTTTCCTCCTCTTTTTATCTTTCACAGGCATAATGCTCCCTACCCCTACAACACTTCAAGAACTTAACTATCTGTCTCTGCACAGCAATATCCTGATGGATTACAACTACTGCAAAGAACATATTTGCAATTCATGTACCTGACAAAGAACTTATGTGCAAAATATATAAAGAAACTTTAAAATGCAATAAGACAACCCATTTTTTTTTAAAGGACAAGGACTTCATTTCCAAAGAGCAGAAAAATGCGAAGTAAGTACATGAAAAGATGTTCAATATCATAAGTCATCTGGAAAATGAAAATGAAAAAGCATAATAAGATGCCACTACACAGCTATCAGAGGAGCTAATATTAAAACGATTGACAATTCCAAGTGAGAAAGAGAATGTGGAGCAACGAACACTCAAATATACTGCTGGCGGGAGCGTAAAGTCTCTGGAAAACAGTCTGGCAGCTTCTTATAAAGTTAGTTTTTATTTACCATTTGACTCAATAAACCCACATTTAGATATATACCCCAAGGGAAATTAAAACGTGTACACAAAATGACTTGTACAAGAATATTCATCGCAGCTTTATTCAAAATAGCCAAAAACTGGAAGCAATCCAAATGTCCAACAACCTGTGAAAGAAAAAATTATGAAAAAGTACTTAACAAGAAAAAATAACAGCCTACTAATTCATGCAACCTCATGAATAAATCTCAAATACTTGTTGAATCAAAGAAACCAAGTACATAAAAGATGGCAAAACTGCCAATACCAGTTTGGCTCAGTGGATAGAGCATTGACTGTGGACTGGATGGTCCAGGGTTCGATTCCAGTCAAGGGCATGTACCTTGGTTGCCGGCACATCCTCAGTGCGGGGTGTGCAAGAGGCAGCTGGTCGATGTTTCTCTCTCATCGACGTTTCTAACTCTCTATCCCTCTCAATTCCTCTCTGTGTAAAATCAATAATATATATATATATTTTTTTTAAAGATGGCAAAACTAATTTTGAGTGATAAACATTGAATCAAGGGTTGCCTCAGAGGGTGAGGAATTGACTGCAAAGAAGTCTGAGGCAATTTTACAGGGTAATGAAAATATCTATATCTTGATTAGGAGTGGTTACACAGGTATGTATATTTTTCAAAACTGTACACTCAAAATGTATGCATATCACTGTGTATAATGAATTTTATACCGCAATAAAGCTGACTTTTTAAAAATATATTTTTATTGATTTCAGAGAGGAAATAAGAGGGAGAGAGAGAGAAACATCAATGATGAGAGAGAATCATTGATCAGCTGCCTTCTGCATGCCCCACACTGGGGATTGAGCCTGAAACCCTGGCATGTGCCCTTGACCAGAATCGAACCTGGGACCCTTCAGTCCACAGGCCAGTGCTCTATCCACTGAGCCACACCAGCTAAGGACTAAAGCTGACTTTTTAAACTATATTCCCGACATTTATAAGTACTCTACTAACTATAAAATACTAAACAAATATATAAATACTATACCTAACAGTATTTCTTGGTATTGCAGGTGGACTATTGATCTCATTTACATTTCTAGACAGTTGTTGCAGAAAATAAATTTTTTCTTATGCCCAAAGACCTTATAAGATTCCCTTATTCTGCTGTTTTTAACTGAAGGTCTTTGGGTCTTCTAGGCATATAATCTATACACAGAAAAAAAAAATAATTTCATCTCTTGTTATTCAACATTTATACAAATTACTGTATTTACCTCTCATATTGCACTCACTAGTCTCCAAAAGAATGTTAAATAATGGTGATCACTAGATGCTCTCTCTCTTCTCAAAAGGAAATATCTTAACATCTGAGTGTTTAGAATACTACCTGATGTTGGATTTTTTTTAAAATATATTTTACTGATTTTTTACAGAGAGGAAGAGAGAGGGATAGAGAGTTAGAAACATCGATGATGAAAGAGAATCATCGATCAGCCCCCTATGGGGGATGTGCCCACAATCAAGGTACATGCCCTTGACTGGAATCGAACCCCGGGACCTTTCAGTCCGCAGGCTGACTCTCTATCCACTGAGCTAAACTGGTTTCGGCTGATGTTGGATTTTTAAATAATGTCTTTATCAATTTGTAGTTTCCATATTATTTTGTTAAGAATGGTTTTTAATTTATTCAAGTAACTTTTCAGCATTTATTAGATAACATGGCTCTTCTCCTTTAAATTGTTGAAGAAATAAAATATCCATATAAATTGCCTAATATTGCAACAGTTGACTTTCCTGGAATAAAATCTCTTGAATTATTCTTTTGATAAAGTATGCAATTCTTTTTTGAATACATATTCATAAGCTAATTTGAACTTTGGTGGGGACAGAGAGAGGATGTGATACTATCTATATGAGGTTACAGTAAGGCTGGCTTCATTAAGTTATTTAAGGAGTTTCCATCTTTTCCTTTGCCCTAAAATAGTTTTTAAAAAAATTTTTTAATTATCTATTGTTCCTTAAAAAGGATTTAACTGTAAAATGTCTCCATGCTATTTTTACAGTAAACCTTCAATCTCCTATTTTTCTAGTATAATTAGGCTCTTCGTGTTTACTATAATAGTTGTTGGTGCTGAGTATAATCCAGCCAATAGTTTACTTTTAGGGAGCCAGGGAAGGATACTGTGATTAATAAGAAATGTGTGTTTTATAAACATACTCTACTTTTGCCCCACCCTGTATATTGATCTCAAAGTGGCCGTGGTATTTAATTTTTAAATCTTTTTTTCCTTTGTTCCACACCCCTAATAACTAAAACATCAGCTGTCAAATCCCTTATATACATCGAGAGAGATTCTAAAAGACACGCAATCGTTGTGTCTATTCATTTTACTTTTTTATCCAATTCCGGAGACTTTGCTTTCTCCCACCTCCCTATTCTACCACCAATGGATTTCATGTAACCCCTCAGGCCTCCTCCTTTGGGGGTAATGCATAAAATGAAGCACAAAGCTGCCATTCTCTGGAGCATTTTCCAAATCCTTTGAGCTTTTGCTCCCCAGCAATTGTTGTCAGTTTGGCTCAAATAAACTTTTAAATATTCTCTGCAGCCGAAACCCGTTTGGCTCAGTGGATAGAGCGTCAGCCTGCGGACTGAGGGGTTCCAGGTTCGATTCTGGTCAAGGGCATGTACCTTGGTCACAGGCACATCCCCAGTAGGAGGTGTGCAGGAGGCAGCTGATCCATGTTTCTCTCTCATCGATGTTTCTAACTCTCTTCCTCTGTAAAAACTCAATAAAATATTTAACATGTATAACATATATTATATTATATATTATGTAATCTATATAAATATACAATAGTATATATAAACATATATTATATATATTAAAATGTATGTTATATATATAAATATTCTCTGCAGTTTTAAACGTTTCTCAAGTTGGCAGGCCCTGGAACACCAGTAAGGGAGGGGAAAGCTCCCGCAATTAACCAGGTCCCACGGGCCCGCCCCGCCCACCTACACTCCCTCTGCGCATGCGCGGCGCCCCACGCCCGGCCAGTCGGGACTCGGGTCCTCCCCGCCCCTCAGACCGGAAGGGGCTGCAGGCGCTTCCTGCTGCTCCCGGGGCCGCGGGGTTGCCCAGGGATGTCCTGGGTCCAGGCAGCCCCGGCGATCCGGGCTGGCGGCGAGGAGGGGGAAGTGTTTGACGAGGAAGCAGACGAGTCGCTCCTGGTGCAGCGGGAATGGCGGAGCCAGATGCGGAGACGAGTCCAGGTGAAGCTGCGGGGCGCGGGCTGGGGAGGAATCTCGGCCTGACATGAGCGGCCACAGGGGTTTGGCCTGGCCCAGGGCGGCCCGCATGCTGCCAAGATTTCCCTTTAATGGGTTTCTTTAAGGCGTGCGAAACCGCAGCGCGCCTTCCTCTGCGGTGGACGCCGGTCCGACCGCCGCAAACTGCCCAGACTTCGCCGAGATCGGAGTGTGCGAGGGTCGCAGGGAAGGGGTGGGGGATGTATGCCCTGATTGCACTAATCATGGCTGTCAGAGGACTGTACACCGTGTACAGGATTGCCTGAGTGGGGAGGAGCCTGAAGTTAGGGCTGATGTTAATCCATGTGCGTATGTGGGATCAGTGCGTGTGAGGATGTTGTCAGAGGGCTGTCAGGGGAAGAAATAGGGAATACTGGCGACTCGGGGAGGAAGTGTTAGCGTTGGGTTTTTTTATTGGTTAGGTGTGATTTACCCATCTCTGATTTGTCTCACTATTCATGAGATGAAGCTTAATGCCACGCCCCCAATTTCCAGGTGGAGCGCTCCAACTATCCATTGCAGGACCAAATGGTGAGGTCCACTTCCACTCACTACCATCGCCAACGGTTAGATTGCCCTGAGTCTGCCTTTGTTTAATGTTTCAGCCAAATAATTGCTTAGCCCAACAGCCATGTTGTCAGTTTCAGAAACGCTGTGTGTGAGGCTGGGGCATCTTCTGGGTGCTGTGGCAGCAGAGAAGACGCAGGACAAAAATCCATGCCTGCCGTGAACTTGCAGTTTAGCTGAATTCAGATATCAAGCAAAATTTCTAAAGCTAGATTTCTTATTTTCCTTTTGCTGAACCGATTTCCTCTTTCCCTGCGTCAATTAATTATCCAAGGCCTTTGATAACACTACTTACTGCCTTGTTTCCTCACCTACCCTACCAGTCCAGTCATTTGCAAAAGGGGCCAGGCATGAAATTCTCTATGTAGCCTTTCTGTGAAGCCATTGCTAACATAGGATGTTCAATGGGATAGTGACTTCCCAAACTTTTGACATATGTGTACCTCTTCTATAATTTTCGTAACGCTGAGTACCCCTCGTACTCATGAGAACGCAGAATTAGGCGCAGCTAAGCACGGTGCAGTGCATATCCCCACCAAACTCCGGTGCAACGCGTACCCCCACCAAACTCTTCCCGTACACCTGGGGGTACGCCTACCACACTTTGGGAAACACTGGTAGACCAATAATACATTTACATGAGAAGTATAGTCTGGTCTACTTTGTGTAGCTACGCCATATGTTTTAGAACCATGATATTAAATAACACAGGAAAAGCTTGTTTTCATTGATTTTTCTAAATTGATTCTATGACTTTCCAGAAAAACCTACAGTGGTTCACTTGATGTTCGTTTCAGCTGCAATTCTTCATTGCTTATTCTTTAGGAAGGCTATAGAGATGGACTACAGGCTGGCAAAGCAGTTGCCCTTCAACAAGGCTTCAATCAAGGCTACAAAGAAGGTGCAGAAGTCATTATAAACTATGGACAACTCAGAGGGACATTGAGGTAATTTTTAAAACTTAGATCTGGAGTCATTTTAACCTCAGGGCTACTGGGAGATTTTTTTTTAAATGGTATCTAAAAACCAAGTGTTTAAACGAAAGTGCTTTTCCTACTGTTAAATCCACAAGAGAGCTGCAAAGAGAGCCTTCAAAAAGTCAAGATTGCCCTAGCTGGTTTGGCTCTATGTATGGAGCGTCGGCCTGAGGACTAAAGGGTCCTGGGTTCGATTCCCATCAGGGGCATGTACCTTGGTTGTGGGCACATCCCCAGTAAGGGTTGTGTGAGAGGCAGTTGATCGATGTTTCTCTCTCGTCGATGTTTCTAGCTCTATCCCTTCCCCTCCCTCTCTGTAAAAAAAAAAATATATATATATTTTAAAAAAAAAAAGTCAAGATTATCAGTTCATCCACTTTAATATGTGACCAGGTCTCCTTTATAGCAAAGAAAAGATAGGAAGGTGTATATTTTTCACTACCTGAACTATCACCAGTTTACACTACGTGGCCATATTATTATGATCTCTGAACACACAATAATCTGGCCACTCAGTGTGTATATATATGTGGTGGGTGTGTGTGTGTTTGTTTGTGTGTGTGTGTGTGTGTGTATTTGAGGCCCGGTGCATGAATTTGTGCATGGGTGGGGTCCAGCCAGCCTGCCATGGGAAGGGGACATGGGCAGTTGGCCAGCCTTGCCTGCTGGTCAAACTCCAAGTCAAAAGGACAATTTGCATATTAGCCTTTTATTATATAGGATAAACACTGAGTGGCCAGATTATTATTATGCATTCAGAGATCATAATAATCTGGCCACTCAGTGTATATAATGCAAACATTGGACAAAAAAACTAATAAAGCTTGTATGTTAGTCAAAACCGGTTTGGCTCAGTGGTAGAGCGTCGGTCTGCAGACTGAAAGGTCCCAGGTTCGATTCCGGTCAGGGGCATGTACATTGGTTGCGGGCACATACCCGGTAGGGGGTGTGCAAGAGGCGCTGGTCGATGTTTCTCTCTCATCGACGTTTCTAGCTCTCTATCTCCTTTCCTCTCTGTAAAAAATCAATAAAATATATATTTTTTTTAAAAAACTTATATGTTAGTTTATCAATATATCAGCCAGTAAAGTAGACCTTAATACAAATAGTATTAGAGGTAATATATATGTGATATATATATGATACATGTATAAACCTAGCATAAACATGCTATATATTACACTGAGTGGCCAGATTATTATGTGTTCAGAGATCATAATAATCTGGCCACTCAGTGTATATCTAGAGGTCATTTAAAAGATCTTCAGGTTTTGAATAAAGCTTTTAGTCTTGCACATGTGGCAAAACACAGCATGACAAAAGTCTATACTAGAAGTACATAATGAAAATTATAGTTGGTAATAGAGAAAAATGATCCCATTTACTTTAGTCCTGAACATCTAATACTTGTCAAGATCCACAGCAGTAATGGCATATTTCAGAGCCAAGTGGCCAAACGGCACATGGAGCTTAATTGCCCTCAATAGAGAAAATGCAGCAAAGATGGTTTTTAAAAGGGTAGAAAATAAGTTATCAAAACAACAAAAAATGTGTTGTGTTTAAGGTTTTAGAAAATTCAGTGGTAAGAATCAGAATATGTAGTATATTACCATAGGAAAATGATCATCTTCATCTTTACATCAGGTTAAATCTTTTATAAGCTAAGAAAGCTTATTGCTAAATCTTTTTCATCAATTGATTCCATTTTAAAACATCATTACTTTCACAACCATTTTATGCCATGATTATCTGAACAATCTGAACTATCAAAAAACAAAAGTACTATCTGTACTAAAAAAGTAAAGAAAAATATTTCTTACCCTAACTGGTTTGGCTCAGTGGATAGAGCGTCAGCCTATGGACTCAAGGGTCCCAGGTTCAATTCCGGTCAAGGATATGTACCGTGGTTGCAGGCACATCCCCAGTAGGAGGTGTGCAGGAAGCAGCTGATTGATGTTTCTCCCTCATCGGTGTTTCTAACTCTCTATCCCTCTCCCTTCCTCTTGTAAAAAATCAATAAAAAATATATCTTTAAAAATATATATATTTCTTAGGAATAGAATGATTTTTACCTTCTTCAAGAAAATCATTAGTTAGCTCAGCAAACAGTGTCTACTTATAACAAAGTTGGGAAAGTGAAGTTGCCTAAAAACTTACTTCCCTAATCTTCGGTTTTAATGGCAAGCAACTGCTGCATATGATTAGAACAATGTGATTCTCAATCTTGGCTGCACCTTGATATCAGCTAGGCAGCTTTAAAAAATAATACCCCTAGAGATTCTGGTTTAATTGGTCTGGGGTATGACCTAGATCTTGATAGTTTCAAGAGCTCCCTACATTATTCTAATGTGCATCCAAGATTGAGAATCACTAGTTTAGAAGCTGTTTGATGTCTTTAAAGGAAAAACTAATTTTCCTGGTCTCTCTGTCTCTCTCTCCCTCCCTCCTTTCCTCCCCCTCCCTGCCCCCCCCCGCCCACCCTCTCTCTCTCTCTCTCTCTCTCTCTCTCTCTCTCTCTCTCTCTCTCTCACTCTCTCTCTCTCTCTCTCTGTTGTATCCCTCTTCAACATAAGCTACACAGTCATAAGGGGAAAATCTAAAATGAGGAGAAGTGGATGTACATCTGTGAAGGAGGGGTTATGATATAGAAAAGTTTATATGGTTAAGCCCATTTGTTTAATTTCTGTTGAAAGATATATTTTTCAATACTATTTTGCCATTATTACTTTCTTTATTTTGACTTGCATTATTTTTATTAATTCGCTTTTGCATGGTGTTATCTAGAAAAGAAAACGTAGCATAAAAAGTTCTAAAAGCCTATGATTGCTTAATTTTTTCCCTATTTAACTCTTGTTTATATTTTCATTCAGTGCTTTGCTCTCCTGGTGTCACCTTCATGATAATAGCTCAGCTTTGATCAGTAAAATAAATAATCTTCTGGATGCAGTTGGCCATTGTGAAGAGTATGTGCTCAAACAACTGAAATCAATCACCCCACAGCCGAATGTTGTAGATTTATTGGACTCCATTCAGGACATGGACCTTTGTCATGTTTCTCCAGCTGAGAAAAAGATTTATGAAGCTGAAGATGAAAGACTCTGTGAAAATAATGCTGAGTTTAACAAAAGCTGTAGCAATAGTCTTAGCGGGGTAGGTTGTCCATCTTTAGAATGTTGTGGAACACAGGAGCATACACATTCTGAAAACCCAAGCCTCACTTGGATTTTAGAACAGACAGCTAGTTTGGTAAAACAGCTGGGAGTATCGGTAGACATATTACAGCACCTCAAACGACTATGAAAATTATCTTCACTTTTCTGGTGAAAATAATGTTCAGGACATTCCTTTGGGCATTTTGTTGCTTAACAAGTTTACCGAAATTTGTACTGGTTTCTCCATTGAACACTTCGCCAGCCTTCGTGGAAGTTTGAAACATCTTCAGAATTAACACTATTAAATGTAATATAAGCCTTTTTTTCTCTGTCACTGGTAATTTTTACAAAGTTTATTATATGATTAGAAATTCCAGTTATCATTGTCATTTCCAAATTTCTGATCAAAACCATTTTCAGACTCACTAGCAAAAGTGAATCAAACATTTGGTAAGGACCTAATCCTATTCTCTGCACTGTCACCATCAGCTAGGACCTCATTTCCAACTAGTCAGACCAAGGTTACCAAATATAATGGCTAACATCATAAATAGATAAGCACACAAAGATATGTAGATAATATATTGAAAATAGGAGGTCATAAGCCTAAGAAACTAAAGACATGTTTATACTGATGATTAAAAACATGGAATATATACTAAAATCGATTTTAATTTAATGTTAATTAAAAGTAAAAACAATACTGAAAAATACAGAAAATACATTTCATGCTCAAGTACTACTTAGCCTTTCCAAGTATTTAGGAGTTAGTTTTGCCTATCAAATGTGGCAGAGGCTCTACTTCATATCCTCTTAGGAATAAAACACTGGAATCTCTAACTTGTAACAATATTCTTAGTCTGGCATAGATAAAATTATATTCAAACTTTTGTTCCAGGACCTAAGCGTATAAAATTATGAAAAGGTTTTTCATCACTTGGTTGCCTAAAACATTTTATGTGAGATACCTGACTTCAGAGACACCCAAACAATTGCCCATCCTGATAGCCTTCATTGTTTTTACACTAAAATGTTTATCTACAATCTACTCTAAAAAACAGACATCCTGGGATAGTAAGAGAAATTGATAAAATATGTCTTTTAAGAGATTAAGAAAATGTACTACTGTGATCTTACAACCTCCAAAGTTCACAGAACAGTAAGGAATTGAAACAAATTTGAAATCAGAACATCATACAGTTTTTCAGGATTTACAGTTTTTCAGGATTTAAACATTTTATTGATTTTTACAGAGAGGAAGGGAGAGGGATAGAGAACTAGAAGCATCGATGAGAGAGAAAACATCAATCAGCTTCCTCCTGCACACCTATTGGGAATGTGCCCGCAACCAAGGTACATGCCCTTGACCGGAATTGAACCTGGGACCCTTGAGTCTCCAGACCGAGGCTCTATCCACTGAGCCAAACCAGTTAGGGTGACAGCTGGGTTTTTAAAAGTATGTTTATCTCCAAATGTAGGGAATATTTCAAAGATTTACTAATTTTTTTCATATATAGATGCAGCAAAAATCTTAAACCTTCATGGAATATTTATTATAATCAGTTTCTAAAGTCATCATGTTGCTCTGCCCTGCATATTAGATATGAAATATCTGGTAATACATCTCAAGAAAGACACTGAGTAAAAAAATGTCATGAGTGTATCCAATTTTGAGATTTTAAAGGGTTCATTCTGATAAGATTCCCTGAAGATAACAGCCCTTGCCACCATTGGAAATGGGCTTTTGTGGAGATGTTCATAGGAAAAATCAAGAAAATTAGTTGAGTTGACAGGGCTTTTGGATTGAAAATATTCCTTAAACTTACTTTGCCTTTTAAAAAGCACAGAAGTTCCTGGAGTGCAAGGAATATTAGTGGTATGCTCATTATTCCTATATTCTATGAATGTGAGGCTCTACTATTTTTTCCCCTTTTTTTGTTTGTTCATTTTCCTTTTGTGTTTTTGTTTCTTTGATTACCGTATTTTCCGGCGTAAGAAAATACAGTATGTGAACCTCCTTTAGAACCAACCAGAGAGAGGGAAAGAAACCTTCCTCACCTTGTGTGTTGTCCCACATGTAGGCCTGACAAGTTTTGCCGGAAAAGAGCCCTGACTGATCATAAATGCAAGGCAAAATTGCCCCAGGACAGGCAGCCAGAGTTTTAAGGCCTGGGACACAGTCATTGGGTCTGGTTGATAGAGCTCCCTTAAAAACAGAACTTTCAGCTGGGACCGGTTTGGCTCAGTGGATAGAGCGTCAGCCTGCTGACTGAAAGGTCCCAGGTTCGATTCCAGTCGAGGGCATGTACCTTGGTTGTGGACACATCCCAGTAGGGGTTGTGCAAGAGGCAGCTGATTGATGATTCTCTCTCAGCGATGTTTCTAACTTTCTATCCCTCTCTCTTCCTCTCTGTGAAAAATCAAAATATATTTTTAAAAAAACAGAACTTTCATCTCACGTATATTATTTCTAGATGCTGATATATCTGGCGTTTTGTTGTTTTCCTAAAGGTGAGGGTGAAGAAGCCCATAATTCTAGGCTTTTCTGGCATTTCATTTGCTAGAGCTGCTGAGGCCGCCAAACTTTTTTGTGATTGACAGGAATTGGGCGACTAAATTCACCTACCTGAATCTTTATTTCATTTATATCCTAACCCTGCTTATTAACTGCTTGTGGTAAACCAAAATGAAGGCTTTGAACCAAATCCAAGTTGCGGTCCTCACCCATCTTCAAACAAATTAAAGGTTTGTGTTCCAGTCTAAGGGACTGAAGATATATTGATATATATAGAAATAGAGTCTAACTTAATTCTAATTCATTCTTAATTTCAGACCAATGAAGTGAATATCATATGCTATGTTAATAAACTATCAACCAGACTTCTTGCACACCAGAAATTCTCAAAGCTCCATCATAAAGGTACTTCACAATCAGTTGGCTCTCTACTGCCTTTCCCCAGCAACTTACTCCTCTTCCTCATTCCTGGCTGTGCTGCCCAGAATACTAGGAAAGGAGTCTTGTCACTGTCTCAACTTGTTTTCTTCCCGTGCATATTCCTCAGCTTCCCATTCATATTGCTTCTGGCTATGGTCACTGGTGGCCAAAGTCACACGGCTGCCCCTGACTTACTTTAGTTCTATCACTTGTCTCCATCACTGGGCATGAACCATCTCTACTTTCATAATCCTTCCTTCTACAGCAGCATTTTTTCTTATTATTATTACTACTTATTTCTACTGGACCAGTTATACACTTGAGTTTTTCTAGGCCCAAGCAACATTGTCATTCTGATCTCATCTTGCCTCCTGCTCCCTGATACACACATTATGGATTATCATTATGGATGATAATGCAATTTGGATAATTCCCAACTTGCAATATTACTCATTGCTGACTATCCTGCCCAGAATACTTTTCCACATCCCTCCTTACCAGAAAAGTCCTATTTATCCTTCAATTACAGCTCAAATTTCAATTGAGTGAGTTACTCTTCCCAGTGTTCCCTCTGCATTGTTTTGAGGATATCAGACTTTTGTTTTGTTTTGTTTTTGTTTGTTTGTTTTTTCAAGAAAGTGCCTTATTAATTGTTACATCACCAGTACTTAGCACCATACCCTGTACATAGATGCATAGGTTGTATTAGGTGAGATAAAAACATATTTAAGTGCATCTACCAATGAAAATAAAAAATTTAAGATTCCAAAATACATCATGTTATATTTTTTACTTTAAAAAACAAAACATTTTGTTGCCTTTTTTAAAATGTTTATTTTCATTTTGCATGTTAATGAAAGTCCACTTCTACAAATTGTCTTATACCAGGCTAAATTATAACAGGCAATCGTATTTATCAATCACTAAAAGAATTGCACTAATGAATAATAATACAACAAATATTTAAAGATACAAAATTATGCTTATAGTAAAGTTTTACATAATAAAGAACAGAAGGAAACTAAAAAAAAAACTTGAAAGAACACCAAAAAATATTATTTTTTATCAGGATGTCTGGTGCATAGTATCTAATAACTGTAAGAAGGAGTTGAAAGAAATAGAAGAATGGAAAAGTAATAGCTAACACATGGTGTTAACAATATGCAGGCGCTATTCTGAAAACTTTACATATATTAATTTGCTTAATCCTCATAACCCTATCAGCATAACTATTATGTATCCCCATCCTAGAGATGAGGACACCGAGACACCGAGGAGAAATTGGGTAACTTGTCCATTTCACAGCCACCAAATGGTCCAGTTGAGATTTAAAGCAAGACAAATCTAGCTCCACAGTTTGCTTAGGATAGAGGCACACAAAATAGTGACAGTAGCAGTCATTGTGTTTAGTAGAGGGACTATGAACTATATTTTCCCCTTGTTAATTTCTACTTTTGTGCACTTTTCAAATCTAACCCAGTCACAAGTATTGTTTACAATGTGTATATTAATCAGCAGCTACAAAGGACAAAAAAATTACCAAAAGTTTGTTTACTATCCATCTAGAAAAAGAAATACCATTCCCTATTGGAAGAAGAGAATCTTTGTCATCTAGGAAGTGGTATAGAAAGGTGTCTTGAGCTTATACAGAAGCCAAATTCTCCTTGGATGCCTTAGACTTGCCATACTCTTTCTGGAGAGGATAATTTGTGTCACTCATTTTGTGATGCTTCTTAGCTCTCATAAACTATTTAACTTTCAAAAACAGACGTTAGCTCATTACTTACAAAGATATGTATTGCCAAAAAGAGCCAAAAGTCCTTAACATAACCAAACTCCATTTTCTTGTCCTATAAATTGTCTGATCTTTCCATAAAGTAGGATAACAAAGTAAGATCAGAACTACCTACAATGGATTCAATTCTGCAAAAGTTAAATCCTGGTGCGTTCATGCATGCCTATGTAATACACCATCCAGAGAGGCGCTGGAGTTCTGGGTCATATTGCCGAGGAGCTGCTAAATTCCTTCAAGGCCACTGGGTGGTGCTGGTGCATCCTGATTTGTAATGTGCTCTTTGCTGAGTTTTCATGGTCACAAAGACAAAGGCCAGTGATTATTCCTAAAACTGTGCCAAACAGTCATTTGTCAGGTTGGGTGGGTGAGGAGTTTTCTGAGGTACATCCAAAAACTCAGGAAATTAGGGTACCCTTCATTTTTTAATTCTGGGATGAGAATTTTTCTAAAGCAAAGAAACCAATGAAAAGGAAACCCATTCACACACACACAAAAAAAGCACATTTTATTCTCTCCAAACCCTGAGGCCTAAAAATAAACACCTAGAATCCAAATTATACAGCCTTTAATCAGAAATAACATAAAATTATAA